TCCGTAGTTGTTCGGGCTCCTTGGGAGACTCTGACTTAGACATGAGGGCAGTCAGAAGAGAGCCTGATGATGCTTCCTCCACGGTGTACACCAGCAGAAAAGGCAAACTTCTCATTTCATCGCTATAAATGCTGATGCCAAGATACCATGCTGTATGCTTCAAACTTGCCTGGTTGGGAAGCAGATGCACACAGAGATGCTTTCTCCCCTTCTTGTTTTCAACATTTTCCATATTCCTTTTGGGATAAAACATTAATCTTCTTGGTGAAGATAAACATTTTATTTTTAGGTTAGGTGGTAGCCGCATTTATTTCAGAGTCCTAATTCCTGAAATTGTTCTTTTGATTAGGAAATCATATAGTAATTTATTTATTTATTTATTGCAGAACCGAGGATTGAACTCAGACCCTTGCACTTGCCAGGGAAGTGCTTATTCTACTGATCCATCTCCCCAGCCCCTCATATATTAATTTAGATCAACAATTTCACTAGATCAGTGTATTTACTAAGCTTTATTACACCAAGGCTCACTTACAGTGAAGAGCAGAACCTAGTATTTCTCTAAAATCACCACACAACTAGCAATTAAAAAAATAGGAAATGTCTGTGTAGATAATGATTGCAAGTGTTTGAAATTGGTCACTGAGTCTATTATAAGAGGGTATTAATGAGCTTCCATAAAATGAATAGCACATTAGCACTTAAGACCACATTAAGAAGTATCTATAGAGTATCACTAATAAAGAACATATAGCTGAATTCCAGGGAGCCCTAGGTCACTATTTTATTTATTCATTTGAAATCTATTCTTGTGAAGTAAAGTGGATGAAATTTGACTACTAGCAACCACGACTTCTGTTACTTTTTTTTTTTTAATGTTTATATATTTATTTGGTATGAGATCTTACTGTGAAGCTCAGACTTATAATGATCCTCCTGTCTCAGCCTCCCCAGCGCTGGATTATAGGCGTGTGCCACACCCAGTTTCCATGGCTGGTATCGCATGGGGCCACTGCAGCATGCAGTACTGGGGATCGATCCTGGGTCCTTGCACTTTCCAGGCAGGCACTTAGACCATCAAGCTATCTCCCCTAATCCTGTTATGTGTATTTTTGTTAGATACTGGACTCCCTACTAAAGGAATATAAATATGTAAACATAAATATGAAATGAAAATGATAATAAATGTATTTTTTTAGGAAACAATTGAGATTCTTCTAATTAAAAGCCTTACTACCTCAACAAGTAAATCTGTTCAATAAATTGCTAAAGAAATGTAGAGCCTTGAAGTCCCTTCATGTGGCAAGATTTAAGATAAAAGTTTCTTATTTTAGATAATTCATTATGTCGATAAGCAGGCTGGTGATCAGAGGTATAGACTAAAAAAAGAAAGGTGTAGACTGTAACAAAAAAATGTTCAATTTGGAAATGTTTCACTTGTCTCTTTGTATACTTTGTCTCTTTCAACAAATGTGTATTAATTGCCTTCCATGTGGTAAGCACTGGTGTAGGAGCTATGAGCACAAGAGATGCAAACCACTGCTCTTGTAGAATTGTTAGAAATGTGGATAATATACATATAAACACTTATAAGACATCACATGATAATTGCTAAGAAGAGTAGTATTTATGAGAACGGAATAGCAAGAGTGTGGGGGAAGGAAGAACCATTTCCTGTATAATGGTAAAAGATGCTCTGTTTGATAATTTGACGAGAGAGAGAGAGAGAGAGAGAGAGAGAGAGAGAGAGAGAGAGAGAGAAAATGAGAGCACAAGCAAGCAAGCCAGCCAAGTGATCATCTGAGGAAGAGTATGCCAAGTTCTCCTCTGAGAGCAGCAAAGAACTCATAGAATTGGAACAGGCAACATTAGTAGAGAGTGGCATGAAATAAGGTCAGGAAAGCTAGCAGTGGGCCAGTAATATAGGGCCTTGGGAGCCAAAACCTCGAATTAAGGACTTCAGAATTTATTTAGATGGAGACAGAAAGCTACTGCAAGGTTTTTTGGCTTTGTGGAGAAAAAACTAGAATGAAAGCAAGGAAGCCAGTTAAGAAGACATTGCGTCCAGGAAGGAGAGGATAGTGTTTGAACTGGAGTGTTATAGTGGACGTAGTGAGCATCCTGCCAAGAGAGAGCCAGCAGGGTCTCTTGACCTGCTAGAGTTGGGTGTTCAGTAAGGGGCATTCCAGATGACTTGAGCCGAAAGACTGGAACATTTGAGGAGTCATATTGAAGACTGATAGAGCAATTCAAGGGTTTTGGTCTGGGAGTTTAGGTTCCAGAAGCCAGTCACTAGGTAGAGATAATACATGGGCAATTAGATAAATAAGTATGGAATTCAGGGCAGTGGGTCGAGGCTTATGATATAAATTTGAGGACTTAGAGTTTCGGACTGGATGGAGTCATGTGATGACCAGGGTAGAGAAGAGGTCCCATCCTTAAACCAGAGTACTCCAAAATTTCAAGACTGTTAAATTAAGAAAAGCCCAGCAAATGAGACCAAGAAGGAGCAGCCAATAGGCAGGAGGGGAGCTTAAAGTTGTTTCACCTTTACATCTGTTTTTCATATAAATCCTTTGACAATACCTGGATCTAAAGGGGAACAGTTTACTGAGATAGGATGAGTATATACCTTGATGGTCATATGCAAGTGCATCTACAAAAAAACATTTGACAAGAACACAGGTTGCTGTTCTCTTTTTGCTCACTTCTCCAACTTTCAGCTACACCAGAGTTCCAAGTCATTCAGTCAGTCTGTCTCTCTGTCTGTCTCTCTGTCTCTCTGTCTCTCTGTCTGTCTGTCTGTCTCTCTCTCTCTCTGTCTCTGTCTCTCTCTCTGTCTCTCTCTCTCTCTCTCTCGTTGTATTTTTAGTACAGTATCTACAGGGTCTCACTACATAGATTGGACTCAGTGATCCTTCCTGTTTTTCAGTCTCCCAAATGCTGGGATTACAGACTGTGCCACCATGCCTAGTCTCAGTCGCCCTCTCAGGGCACCCTAGGGGCAGGGCCAACACCACAGGCTGGGGATTGAACCTCCAGCCCCTGTGTCTGCCTAACCAGGCACTTTAATCCGCTATCTGGCTGGCCCTCCCCTCTCCGCCCCTTCCCTTCCTTTCTTTCTTGTACCAGGAATTGAACTCAGGACCTTGTGTTTGCCAGGCACTTTTGCCACTGGGCTATATCCCCAGCAGTCTGAAGTATTTCTTCAATATGTTTTGTCAATTTAAAAAATGAGAAATTACAGTTAGCTAGACAAATATTTACTTGAGATATTTGCTAGAAAGTAAAGGTAAGTAAGTAGATAAGTGTACTGCAGAATTTCTCTTACGAAATTGATAGACTTCTTATATTATGCTAATAAGTATTATTATGTATCATTTTCTGCTCAGTTACCAAGAGATTTGGGAAGAAATCTGATGTGCAGTATATAGTCACATTGAAAACTGAGGTTGAAATTTGCCTGTTTCCTGTTCATGTTCTTAGTTTTAACATTTATTTGTATTTTGCTATTTATTTATTAAGATATGCTGTCTCAAATCTTATTTGGAATCAGCACCAATACAGTCTGCATGGTAGAACTTTCTTGAGTTGCCCAGCATACTTTAATATTCATCGAGATTGTCCTCTGCCTCTAAGATTTCTGGGTAAAATCTTCCTAGTTCGTTCTAAAATGTTCCATATCATCCTAGAGTTCTCACCACTTTACTTTCAACCAGCTTTGCTGCTCACTGTGAAAAGAACATAAGACAGAGTAGGGTAAGGAATAAATGAATTTGGAGATCAGAATTTTCTAATATTATTTATATTATAGTAATAGTAATGGCTGTTACTATAAGTCTTACTGAAACATGAACTGTAAGAAACCTTAGGTCCATAATACTAACTTTCTTTAGTACTTGAAGTTGTATCTTTTTTTTTTTATCACAATCCTGGTGTCCAGACAGATTTTTCCAGGTTTGCTATGAAAACAAATCCTCCCAAATTTCAGGGCCTTACCACAAATAGGTGCATTTCTCCTTGCTGGTTCGGCTGTGAGTTGCCTGTGGCTCTGCTCCATGTATACTCTTGCCCCAGAATCCAGGCTGAAGGGTCAGCCCTTGTCTGAAACATGCTGCTCATGCAGCAGAGGGAAAATGGCCACGCAACCACAGAAAGACTCAAAGCGTCTACTTAAAAGTGGTGCACACACTTCTGTTTATGTTCCTCTGGCCAGGTCAGCGGTTGTGTGTGTGTGTGTGTGTGTGTGTGTGTGTCGGTGTGTAGTGTTACAGGAAGAAGCAGTAAGTAACTGAAACAGTACTTTCTATCATATAGGAATATAAGGTGCTGTGTTATGATTATGATGTCGCTAAGGAATCATTATTTTGAGTCTTAGCAGAGTCATATTACTCCCAGGATTTCATGTTAAGAAAAGTTAGCATTGTAAATGACAAAATGATCATTTTAGTGCCCTTTTAAAAAATTTGTAGTGTTATGCTACATATTAATAAAATGGATTCTTCTTGATGTAGAAAGACATTTTACAGTGACCATCTTGAATCGGAGGTTGAGTGTGTCCCAATATTCTGTTTGGCAGTGAGCAGCGCTGCGGTTGAAAATGCTGGTGCTGACCAGCCCAGTGACTCCGATGCGAGCGGCAGCTTTCAGGATGACGGGGAAGAGGAGTACGAACCGACAGATGAAGATTCTGACTGGGAACCAGGAAAGGAAGACCAAGACCAGGAAGATGTGGAAGAGCTTTTGAAAGAAGCGAAAAAGTTTATGAAAAGAAAAAAATAACTTTTCCTGTATTAAATTCACATTTACTTTTTCTCTATGGAAAAATTCAGGAATGGAGGGGGTGCTTTAGTGATCTTTCCATTATTTTGATTATTGTAACTTTTGCTATTTGCTCTTTGCAACAGGTCTGCCTTCTGTGGAGCAAGGATTAATTTTGTTACCTTGCCCTTTCTTTCTTGTTTAAAGTCAATGGCAATAGGAAGCAGACAGAGGTTAAAGGGTAATAATTAGTATTTTTCATGTACTTTGTATATGGGCAATAAAAAGTAAAATCCATGGGTTTTGCTTTATTTTTTTATTTCCAAAGACTCTGTCTTTGTCAAGTACTATGCAAGTATAACTAGGAAAATTACATGAGGGCTGGGAAGTCTGATTGCTACTGTAGTTCTTCAGCCAAAATGAGGCTTCCCAAATGATAGCTATTACATACATAATGGCTATTAATTTTTCTAGTGCCTTACATGTGAACGTTGTAATTTCATCTACTACTTCTCTGAAATTTGGAGAAATTTTTACCAAATCAATACTGAAAAAAATTCAGCTGTTATAGAAATGACCACCTTACAAGAAATGTTATTTTGTGTTCCACATGTGTAATTTACTGTAAATCTGAGTGTAAAGGTAGAAGAACTCAAAGAATTTGATATTTTTTCAAACTATAGGGCACTTATATTAACTCTTATTGTTCTGTCTTTGCTTTAGGAATACAAAAGTAATTTTAACCATAATTTTCTCAGAAGAGCTTATTTCTTTTATGCTCAGATGCAAGTAGTGAGTTGTTTACCAGGGCTTAAGGTTATAGTTTCTTATATGAAAAAGTTCTCCAGTTACATGTAGTACATCTATATTTCTGTTATTAAGCTACTGTAGTCTCAATAGTATCATTTTAACTGACTTGAAATTCTTAAAATATAGTTTATAATTTTAATGATAGTTCGCTATATACATAGTGCAAGACGTATATTATTGAAATCATGAATCAGTAACTCAAATGTTTCCACTCTGAAATTTATACCATGAAAGAGCAAAATAGATTTATGATATTGTTTTATCAATATTTTAAAATATCTTCAACTAATTAAACTATTAAAATTTATTTAAACTGAAGAAAGATCAGTAAATATTTCTGTAGGGTATTGCCTGCATCCTGGCTATTGTTATTTGGAAACTCATTTTTCCTTCTTACGTATGTTTAGCCCCAGGGTCTTGAAAAACCTGTGAATAAAATCTTTGAATTTATTCTCATTCTGCACTAACTAAATCCTTAAAGAGTGCTTCAGTCCACTCCTAGGTGCATATTTAAAGGAACTGAAAATCTATCATCCTGAGAACTATACACAGTTTCCACGATGGCATTATTCTCAATAGCTACTAATACATGTCTAAAATAGACAAATCCATAGAGACAGAAAATAATTCTTGGTTTCTAGTGGCCTGGATAGAATGGGTAATGGATAATGGATAGTTTTTGAGTGGTAAAAATACTGCAAAATTAGGGTGATAGTAGCACAGCTCTGTAAATATACTAATACCAATGAATTTTACAGTTCCTAATATAATAATGCATAATAGACTTTATTATCATAGGTACATTCGTAGTTGTGTTCTAGACCCTATCATAGGACCTATTACTTAAAAGAAGAATACAATCTTTTCAGTGTGCTTAAATTCTATTTGAGACAATAAGATATTTATTCACATCCTTCAAGAATTTGTCTAAATGTCTAAGGTCCTGCTAGACCACTCTATTTAACATCTCAGCTTCCTCCACACTGCACCCCAGTAGTCTTGGCCCGCTGTCCACAGCTGTTTTGTCCATACCACTTCTTCATGTACTGTGTAATTTATCAGTGTTCATTTGTCTTTCTTGCTGCACTGGAATGTAAGCTCCCTCAGAACAGAGATTTTTGTTCATTTCTTTTAGTGGTCATCCCTAGTGGAAGAAACAAGTACATGGAACATAACAGGCACTGCCACACATAGTTGTTGAATGAGTATGTGACCATTTAGACATGACAGAAAGTAGCGTAGTATGAGCAGAAGCAAGACTGCAGTTTTCGGAAAGAAGTGGCGGAGGAAAAAAATGGTATTGCTATCACTTGAGAAAAATCAGAGATGAATGAACGCGAAAGTGTAGAGGATCGTTTTGTTGTTACTACAGGGAGAACATAGGACATGCTTTAATGGCAAGAAGTTTTGGAATCTCTGGAGAGGGATCCAGAACACTGTCAATAGTAAAGCATGGTAATTTATATTTCTTTTAACATTTTTAACTTAAAATTATTGAAACAGTGATTCTCAACTTTGCCATGGGTCAGAATCTTCTGTGAGATTCTTTAAAAAGTGGCTCTATCACAGAACACTGGGTCAGAATGAGATCACCAGGATGAATGTTAGAGAGCCTCGTGCTCTGTACTTGCTGGCATCCAGGAGCAGGAGGGTTTCTGGAGATTGGGCTGCACGAGCCATTTTCGTGGATCACTAGTGAGCAGCTCGGTGCAGCTCAGAGGGTGGTGTCTAGCGCATTTGGAGATGTGTCATAAGAAAACGAACCATTGCAAGGTTTGGGGTTGGTCTCTGAGACTTTCATTTTACATTATGTGTAAAAGATGGCCATCTACGAGTCAAAGTAGCCAACGGTCTCTGAAACCATATCATTATACATTCAGGGCTATATGATTTAGGAGATTTTAAACTGCTAGGTGTGAGCTTATCTGGTTAGTTTAAATGCTCACGCTAGTGGCAGCTTCAGCACTGGAGAGCTCCCTCAGAGGATGCACCCACAGGTGGTGGCAGGTCTGTGCAGTGCACAGTGAGGGCTCCTGGTTGCAACAAAACTAGAAACAAACAGCAGATAGACAGGAAAAGCTGATCTAACCTCTTGCGACTTCAGTCGATCCTGAATAAATTACAACCATCCTTGTGCTCTGTGTGGAAACAGACTTGAATGGTGGTTACTGGGGATTCCAGGGGACGATGGAGTTGAGGAAACAATGAATGGATATAATATTTCCATTAAAGAAGAGGAATAAGTTCAAGATACCCACTGTGCAACTTGGTGATGACTGGGGACCCCTACAGTGTCTTCCAACCTGCTTTGAATTGCCAGGCATGGTGGGGAGAAAGAAAGCACGAGATGGGACAGGTGCAGGCAGGGATCTGGGATAACGAGTTGTTCTTGGGAACAAAAGGCTGTGAGCTACCCAGAACCTGGGTGTTTATTCAGTCTAGCTGAGTCACAGACAATGGGCAAAGGGCAGGGAGTGTTCTTAGGAACAGTAATGGTGACTATGGAGGGGCAGTGAGCACAAAGCATTCTTGCAAGGACAAGGATGTGATGGGGGGTGGCAATGAGGAAACTAGTTTCCCCAGATGCCTGTGTGTCTTACTCTGGAATTGCCACAGCAGTCATCAGCTCTAGCGCTGCCAGCTGTGACCAGAAACACATGGGGAGTTTGTTCCAATCTGGCAGAAGGGCAGGACAAGAAGAAGCATGGGCATTCCCTAGACTCGATTTAGTTTCTGGTCCCCCACAGGTGAGTTTAGCTAGTAAGTGTGACTGAGTTCTTGAAAATGGCTAAGATAAACTTTGGTGTTCCCACTACACATACACTTACACACAATGTTTTGTGTGTGTGTGTGTGTGTGTGTGTGTGTGTGTGTGTGTGTGTGTGTATTTTAGGACAGGGTGTACAGGGTCTCACTGCATAGATTGGACTCGTAGTGATTCTCCTGTTTACATCTCCCCAAGGGCTGGCACCTAGTCTCCATCACTGTCTCAGCACGCCCTGGGGGTGGGGCCAGCACAGCAGGCCTGGGGCTTGAACCCCCCCATCCCATGTCTGCCTAAGCAGGCACTTTAATCCACGGAGCTATTTGGCCAGCCCCACAACGGTATTATGTGAAACAATAAATATGTTAGTTCAATTTGCCATTTCACAATACATGTTTCAAAACATCATGTTGGACAGGATAAATAAATGATTTTATTTGTCAAATAAGTATGAATATCTTTTTAGTAGAAAAAAATCAAGTGGAAATTGAAAACTACTTAGAAATAAGCTAAATCATGGAAAAACCCTTTATGCTCATCAACAGATAAATAGACAAAGTGTGGGATATATACACAACAGAATACTATTTGGCCATCAAGAAGCATAAATTTTAGACACCTGTAGGAAAAATAAATCTGTCCTGAGGCCATAATGCTAAGTGAAATAAAGCAGACCCAGGTTAAATATCACATGGTTTCTCTAAGATGAGGAATCTAAATGTAAATAATTTTAAAAGCAAGATAAAATATACTAAGAAGCAGAGAGGTGGGCTCTGTGGTGATGGGAAATGGATCTGAGACAGGAGAAAGGGGGGAAGGTGTGGGCAAGGGAGAGTAAAAGGATGGACCATATATATCAAGATACATTGAAGGGAGGCCAGCGAGATAGCTCAGCGGTCTAAAGTGCCTACTTAGGCAACCATAGGCAAAGCACAGGAACCACGGTTTGATCCCCAGCACCACATGCTGCGCCAGCCTTGCCCCCAGGGTGGGCCGGGCCGGCCACACACACACACACACACACACACACACACACAATGTATTGAAGGAAAGTAACATTTACTCCTGAATGTGCCTATTCGGGCGTGGTGGCATATGCTTATAATCCCAGTACTTGGGACTCTGAGGCAGAACAATCATGAGATCTCATCTTAAAAGATAAAGTATATTGGCAACAGAATTGAAAATAAATGAATTGAATATTTGACTCAAAAAATGTAGACAAAACATCAAAATAAAACTAAGCCAAACAGGACAGAATGAGGTAAAATCTTGAGATAAAAGACTTAAATAAGCAGTGATCTTGATCAATAAGACAAAAATAGTTTTGAAATGATCAATAAAATAGATAACTCAGCAAAAAGGAAACATTAGAAATGAACAGGTTAGACTATTAATATAGATGTTTAAAACTTGTGTACATACAACTTCATATTCATAAATTATAAACCCAGATGAGAGCATGGCTTTCAAGAAAAATATCATTCACTAATACCTACATTAAAGGATATTAAAATCCAAACAAATCAATAACTAAAAAGGAAATAGAAAATATTCACAATTCTGCTCCTATTATACTAGCAGAATGTAGTATTGCAAATGAATTCTATCAAACCTGTAGTCAAGAAATACTTCTTCTGTTAGAATTATTACAGGTGAAGGAAAACAGGGAAATTCCACAATTCTTTAAGTCAGTGGCAGACAGCATTACAAAGCTTGTAAAACAATCCGAGTTTGAACATAGATATATAAATTCTAAATAATTACCCAGTCGACTCCTGCAATGCATTAAGACGTCCTGACCTAGGAGGAATTATACTAAGAGTAACGAGGGGTTCACGAGGGACAGAGCTCTTAGTGCAGCTCATCACATCAACAGCTTATCATGATCTCATGGGAGAGTCCGAACGAGGCGCGGATGATTCAATAATGTTCCCTTAAGAAAACAGACTGATAAAAAGGAAGCTTGTAATTATCTCTCAATAGAATGAAACTGCTTTGACTGAATGAAGGAATTTATGAGCAAGATGCAGTAAGCAGCTGATTTCACAGGGTAACAGAAGCCTCTCCACCCAAGTCAGGAACAAGGAAAGGATGTCCTGTATCGTGGCAAATATTCATACTTGTCTGGATATCTTTCCTGGGATGAAAGAAGGGAAAAGAAATAACAGTTTCATGCACTGGGAAGGGAAAAGCTGGTACTATATGTAGCAAGTATAATTACATAGAAAACACTAGAATATCAACAGAAAAAATTATTGAAAACAAGGTTTTTAAAAAATGGCTAAGGGGGGGGGGCAGCCAAATAGGTCAGTGGATTAAAGCGCCTGCAAGCAGGTGCAGGGGCCAGGGTTTCGATCCCCAGGCCTGCCGCGCCAGCCCCGCCTCCGGTGGCAAATTGAGACTGGGCATGGTGGCGCGCACCTGTAATCACAGCACTTGGGAGGCTGTAAACAGGCGAATC